GGTTACGGTGTCCGGGTGGAAGTATGGAGAGGAGCAGGGACCAAGTTGTGAAACAAACTGCAGTATGGACAGTGGCCATGAGACAAAGCAAGCAGGGAAGAACCTGAACACAGGCAAACACAAACCAAGGGTGGTCAAGGCAGGAGGAAATTAATAGGGTGAAAGCACCTTAGTCTCTATAGCTACCTTGGGGCCACCTTCAGCTTCTGCTGCAGGTGGGCCTTCTACACCATGTCACGGTGAAACAGCACTCAGGAGCAGCAGAGGTGCTTGTAGGGGAGTGGTGGGGAAAGCCATGTGAGCATAAGAGATGTGGGAAGGGATGCTGGTGCAGCCAGGGAAAGTGAATCACTGCTGGGTTGAACTGGTGCTTGTAGGGGAAAAAATATGAGTTGCTATGGGTATGGAGCAAACGTCCTGTCAAACTTTCCGGAGAGGTTCCCATGCCATGCATGGAAGGGCTGGGAGGGGAGAGGGAAGTGCTGCTGCTCCCAGCGTTAATTATTACCCAGCAGGTCGAAGGGGCTGGTGGTGGTGGAGCCACCAGAATTGCATTTAGTTTACTTTCCTGGTGTTTCTAACACCTCCCATCGGAGGACATCCAGCTCTACTTTAATTTCCTGTTGTGGGTACCTCTCCAGGTATGTTCAAATGAAAGAAAACAAGCCCAAACAAAAAAAATTACCCCAAAACTTCTAGCAAGTAGTGGAGGGAACAGAGCTTGACAATCCTCAGTGTGGGCTGCTTACTTTAGAGCACTAGATGTGGCAGACTTGGAGCTCTAGGCCTGCGAGAAGAGAAGGGACCCATCAGGGTGCCAAGAGGCTGCAGCTTAGCAAAGTTTCATACTTCAGGCCATGTAGAGAGCTGTAAGGTGCAGTCTCAGGTCATTTTTCCTGGGTTTCCCCCACTGATAACCTGCTTTCCTTCACTGAGGATAAACACCAGTACCTTATGTAGATGCTGTGTGTAAGCTCTTGAGCTTGTGGTGGCCACTTTTCACACCAGCAAAGTCTGGTCTTGTCTGTGTCCCTCATCCTGGCTTCCTGTCAATATGGGGCAGCAGTTCACACTCAGGACTGCAGAGTTTGTAAATACAGATAACCACACTGATGGAAAGTGACCCAAACTTACAGACCAATTTACCCTAAACTGTCAAAACAGCGTTCAGTGCTGTCAGCAAAGCTGTGAACACGCTCATCTCCAAAAAGCTTAGAGCAGCAGAAAAGACTTCTGTTCCATAAGCCAGTGTAGTAGAGCTGTGTATTTTTAAAATACTGAATTAAAATAAACAGTGCTGCACTCAACAGTCTGCCAGGCTGTACTGTGGGGACAGTTCCTGTAATTTTGTGTGCCCTAGAGGATCTTACATAGGTAATCAGGAGTCTTCAGAGGAAAGCTGTTGAGAGGAATGAGAGGAATTAATTGCCAAAGAGCAGCCTTGTTCAGACACTGTCCTGGCTTGCCTGTATGACACTCGATGGAAATCTCTTCTAAAGAAATATGTCCCTCCACTAATAGCTGACATGTAAGATGGTGCTGCAACAAGAAATGGGATTGTCCAGTAGGCAGGGCAAGTCCTTACTTCACAAAATAAGCTAAAAATTGTTTGGGAGAAAGCTGTGTTTCCCTGCACAGCTGGACATGGGGCTGTCTTGGTGTGACTGCTGCAGAGCAACCGATGGTAATCCCTTCACTTCTCTTTAATCACCTTGTCTGCAGGGAGGTGCAGAAAGCTGTGAACACTGCCCAGGGGCTTTTCCAGAGGTGGACAGAGCTCTTGCAAGATCCTTCCATTGCCACAAGAGAAGAAATCGACTGGACCACTAATGAGCTCAGGAACAACCTGCGGAGCATCGAGTGGGACCTGGAAGACTTGGATGAAACAATTAATATCCTTTCTGTGGTCCTTTGGAGACGCGGGATGTGGTTCTGGGTTATACTAAATAGCTGAGTACCAGTGCTTGTCAGTAGTTGCTTTTTGCAGAAAGGACTGTTAGGGATTGAATTTTTCATTTACGTTGGCTTTTCTTAAACTGCAAATGAGAAATGAAGGCAAATGTCTGCAGCAAAAGGATCTTCCTTTTGCCTTTTCATTTTCCTTTTGACAAGGTATATTTTAAGGCTTTGTTCTAGAAAGCCTATTGTGTTGTATGAATTTGGATTTCTATGTAGTCAGTCATACTCTAGGCTGGCTTCCAGAAATACTCCTTTTCCCTTGTGTTCATCTCTGCACTCCTGAAAGCACTGTGCAGCATCAGAGAACCAAAAAAATGTAGGAGCAAAAACTCACACTGGTGCACGTACTGCACAGTACGTTCCTGCCATGCCTGGTTTTTCCTCCAGTGTTTTATACTTTGCAAATACAATTTTGGGAAAAGGCACGGCGCAGTGGCCACTTGGCAGGCCCCCCAGTGAGGCACTCTCAGGGTTTGTGTGTCTGTGTGCATACCCAGGACAGCTAATGGGGACTCCTTGACTTGCTGCCTACGCATTGTTGAGGCAAACCCACGGAAATTCAACCTTGATGCAACGGAGCTGGGTATCAGGAAAGCCTTCATTACGAGCACGCGGCAGGTGGTCAGGGTAAGGAACATGGCCTTGGGGTGGGAGCATGAGGACATAGCATGGGGAAGGCAGGGGGAGTGATTAGGTGGTTAGATACGGGCATGCTTGTGGCCATTTTCATGCTGAAGAGCAGAGGATAAACCTGATACCTGCTCCTCAGGCTTCCTTCTCTTTCTCTTGTGCTCCTTCCTGGGGCTGCGTGTATGGGTTTGGGGCATACCCTCCTTTGCTGCTGCTGCTTCTTTTAAGTCTTCACACCTCTCTTAAAACAGCAAGCCTGGGAACCTATAGAAATTGGAGAGGAAGAATAAAGACCCTCCTGCAATGCAGGAGAGGCTGGAGCCTCCCTTCAGAGTTGAAGGAAATCACAACTGTCCTGTGTTTTTGTAGCACTAATTTTCAAAACAGAGTCCACTTTAAACACTGACAGATGGTTAAAGCCTAGCATTACTGACATGGTGACTTCAACTTCCTACCTCTACAAAATAGCCCAAACAACCACTAGATTTATTTTTAACTCAAGAAAGATCTGTTTTTATAGTTTAAGTTCACACTTCAGAAGCAAAAGGAAGATTTTAACAACTTGGTGGTAACAACATCTTCCCAAAAGCATCAGTGCCTGGTAACAAGTTGCTAGTTAGGAAGTTTTCTTCCTATTAATAGCTACACTAAGCATAGCTTAGTTTCTGCTGCCCCTCATGACTCTAATGTTCCTGTTTCACAAAATGCATTGCTGTGGCTGGTGGAAAGCTTGCTACCCTACCTGCAGCCCTGTGATCTGGATGCAGTTCCTAAGGCTTGCTGCCTGGGAACTGATCCCTAAACCACACCAGCCCCACGTAGCAGGCATGTGTTGGCTGCCTTGCCCTCAGTGTAGGCCACTCCCAAACAGGCAGGATTAGGCAAGACCTGTGGTCCTCTTTTTTTTCTGGCTGAAAACTGCTGACTAATGGGTTTTGGAGCAGTGTCTCTTACTATTAAATGAGATTCATTAGTGGCACTATGCAGCTGATTTCCAGTTTCCATGGGGAATTCATGGTGCACAGCAGCTGGTGAAAGTAATTGAGTGGGATCCAGTGCTCTTAAGTGATGTATTACCTCTGAACAGTACAACATACCTAAATGTCCTGATGACATCAGAATTCTGTTGGTGAGTCAACTTCTGCTAGATCCTATTGACTATTTGCTAATCTACCCTATAAAAACTAGACTGTTGTGATAGGGAGCCTTCTGTGGCTAGTCGTCTTCTCCAGGAAGTCAGCAGCAAAACTGAATTGATAGAAAACACAGGCATAGTCAGAGGATGGCCACAGGACAGGAAATCTCTCTTGTCCTATGCAATATAACCCAGATGCAACTGGGAATAAAGGCTGGCTTACAGGCTTCCAAAACCTTGAAGAACATGATTCTTCCTTACGGTCTATCAATGGGAACATTAGTTTAATACTATACAAATCAAAGTGTTTCTGGCTGTAGTGGAGCAAAACGAGTGGTAACAAGGAGTATTTTCAAATATCTCATTGCTCTTGGATTCTAGTATTAGTAAAATGATGAACTGCAATGAAGCTTTCTGCACTATTCTTCCAGATTCTTCAAAATTTTACATTTTCAAAGAAAATCTCCCTTCCCTTACTGCTCCTGAAGTAGCCTTGCTGGATATAAATGGCCCTGTACCACTGTGAAACTGCCTGTCACCTCAAATCCAATGCTCACATACTATATCTTTTGTTGAACAAACAGGAAATGAAGGATCAGATGTCAAACTCCTCCATGCAAGCACTGGCTGAAAGAAGAAATAGGCAGGTGAGAACCAGAAACAGGCAAGTTAAGTGAACGCTGTGGCTGTTTGGTACCTTAAGGAATGAGGAGGATTTATCAGCTCTAGCAGCTTGTCTCTTAAGGTATGTGTTAGGTGAAACTTCCATTCTCACTTACTCTGAGGCTCCACATCGTAAGGTAGAGTGTATAGTATTGAAGAAAACTGTATAAGAGCTGTAATTACAATATATGTCCTGTCTGTAGCTCATCCCCTTGAAAATGTTTGTTTTGGGATGGGGTTTGCATGCTACAGCAAAGCTGTGTGTTTGAACCATGTCTCTTTTGCTGACCTGAGTGAGCTGGTCTTGCAAGCATGTTGCTGCCACCCTCTTCCAATCCTGTCTCTCAAAGCAGAAAGTCAGCACTCACCATCTGTCTCTGTCTTCAGATCTGTTTGTGTACAACTGCCAGTGTTGCATCACCCTGTGGAAAGGGGAATCTCCCTTCTCTGGGGTACAGACTCAGAATCCATGTCAGTGAATGTAATCCTGTGCTCTGCTGTACTTAGGAGCCAAGATGCTGCAATATCCTTTCACACAGCTGCCTGTCGTAATAGTTAGCCGTGTAATAAGATGGATTCTCAGGTTGTCTGCACATGTAATCTAAGGAATAGAAATAGATGCAGCTTGTGCTCCTTCCTGACTGACAGGGAGGCTGTAAAGGAAATCTCAGAGCTGATTTCCAGAGCTGCCTGAGTAAAAGCTGGTGCACGCTTCATACAAGTAACTTATTTTGTGGCAAAAATTACAAACTGCAACAAGCTACTGAAGAACAGAGCCGATTCTTGAGTTTGTCACAGGGTTAGTAGATGTGCTTGGTAAACACTTGAAGAAGGAAAGTCCCTTGCACTCTTGCTCAGACAAGTCTGTAGCTGTGTCTGCATTTTGCTGCCTTCCTTTGCACAAAGTTCCTGCTAGCTGCAGGAGACCATATGGCCCAGCTCGTGTGGTGACATCTGGTCAGGAAAACTGACTTCCCCTTGCCGTCTTCCTCCTCCTTCCCCAGCTCCTTGCCTTCCCTACAGACCATGAAGCCTGTGCTGAGCTGGGCTGCAGCCACTTTTCAGCATGACTCTGTGTCTGAGAGACTGGTTGGTGGCAACCTGACCCTCACAGGCTAAAGATGGCAAACAGGCCCTTCTGTTGAAGCTGCAGTAAAACTGGTGCACCATGTTAAATAAGTGGTAGCTGCGCTTGCCACAAACTGAAGAGAACCAGGAGCTTGTTCAGTGTCTTGGTGCAAAGCCAGATGTCCTATTGGTACAGTTGGTCCATCAGCTTTCCTTACCCCTCTTGAACCTTGTAAGGCAGATGAACCATAGAGACAGTCTTGTTTCTAGCCTGCCAGAACAGCCTAGTCATGTCTTGCTGTTCTTCACAAATACTTGGTCGTCTCTTCCTGTCCACAACCAGAAGCTGTAAGACTGTCTCATTACAATTTGGCCTTGCCTCCATGCTGGTGGGCAGAGCTCCCTAACCCATTGTAGTGCTGCAGGGTGTAGCACCTCACCTGTGGGCCACATTCATTCTCCAGCATCTGCTGCTTATGTTAGATCCCTTCCAGGGACCAGACTCTGCTGGAAAGCTGCATCGTTCCTGGCACAGGTAGCCTGAATCAAAGAACATGACCATACAACACAGCTGTGGTTATATATTGTGCTATTTTACTGTCAGCTCAACTGGTTAAGTACTTTACCCAGACACTTTTATGCCCCTGTCACTGGTAGCACAGTATTCGTTTGAGCTATACATCTGTTAATACAATATATCTGGATACTTCCCAGTTTACGTGTCCTAGCACACAGTGCTGTCTCTTGAGCAGACCTTTGCTAGTCCTTTGTACTGTGCATACGTCCTGAGTGCACTGTCTCTCGATCGTATTCCAGCTCTCCTGCTGCTGGAGAGGCATATCTGCAGTAATCAGGCTGCAGAGACTTCCCAGGCTGGCATTTTGGCATTGTGGTGTTCTAGTTGTGACAGCACTCTGGCTGAGTAGCAATAGAGCAGGAGGAAAATGATGCTGTATGCATGTGTACAGAAATACTGCCCTGTCTGCCTTCCCACTACACCCTGTAGACAGGCTGTGAGCAGACACAATGATGTTGCTAAGGGCTGTCTGAATCTGTTTAGGCACTCCTGGGAGAAAGTGGGAGTCAGAGTTGGAGCACTGGAACTGACAAATACAGCCGTCTGGACCGGGACCTGCAATTAGCAAATTCACACTTCATTGAGGAGCAGCAAGCTCAACAACAGGTAAGGCAGCTGGCACCACATGGGCTAAATACCTTTGCTTGCCAAATGGGTGCTGGGGGAATGACGTATAGACTGAGAGTGCCAAAAAAACGAAGTCCTTGGCTGGTCTGGATCCAGGAGCCTGACAGCCCTCCTTTTTGCTTGCAGCATATACCTGTGCATGTGTTTCCTGTACAGCACAGCTTTGGATGCATCTTGGTGCAGTTTTTAACCCTTCAGGCTTGGGTCTTCTGCTCTGTACAGAAGGCAATCAACATGATCTGGAACACATAGCACACTAAGCTTTAGCACTGCAAGGATTGCTGAAATCCTTAGAACAGTAGAAATACTGCAAAAAGCAAAGAGCCCATTTCTCTTATGCAGCTTTCCCTGATTAAAAAATGAGCTGATGCTTGCTGTTGTTTGTGTGCATCTTCATCAGAACAGGCTGGGAGCAGGAGCACGTGCCTGCTTCCTTTTCCTGCCTTTGTCAACATGAGGTTCGTGAGAAAGCCTGTGTGAGGGCTTTGCGAGAACCCCTGGTGAGGGACTTCCCGCCGCCGGGGGAGTTTGCCTGGAGAAGTGCCCAGGCAGTGTACATCAGCCCACCCAAATACAGGCCTTTAAACAGGCAGCTTCTCCGGAGTGGCAAACTCTGTTAAAGCTCCTGACCCACGCTGCCGCCCCAGCTCTCAGATGAGTTTTACCTAGGGACTCTGGGAAGATAAAGAGATTCAGTAATAGGTAACTAGGGTAAATCTAATCCTCAGTGTGACTGTGCCCTGAAAGTGACTTAAAACATCAGCAGACCTATTCCTTTGGCACATTCAGAGCCAGGCTTGCTATTTTTAGCTGTAGAAGCTGCAAAAGCCTTTTACTCACGTTAACCCCTTGTTAGCTGCAGCATATTCCAGGTTGCATTTCACATACCTACTATGAGCAGGGGGGGCTTGCGGAGGTTTTGGTGACTAGTCCCTGTGGCTTTCAAGACTCTCTTTAGTGGTGGGTGCAGCAGGGAAGGGAGGGGGCATAGGTGAGCTGAGGCTGTATTTGCAGGAGACTGCAGCCTGCTGTGCCACGGGGATGCCATGCCAGGGAGGCTTTCCTGTGGCTGTCACTTCTCCAGCATTTCTTAGGAATGTGGTCCTCATTCCTTGTGGCTTAGGTCTGTACACCGGCCCTGCAGCTGATGTTGGCTGAGCAGTGAGTGTCCAGCAGATCAGCTGGCTCCGACCCAACTGCAGGACGTAGCAGACCTGTAATTGCCTGTTTCCCTTCTCTTTGGCCCCAGTTGATTGTGGAGCAGCAAGATGAGCAGTTGGAGCTGGTCTCTGGCAGCATTGGAGTGCTGAAGAACATGTCCCAGCGCATTGGTGGGGAGCTGGAGGAGCAAGCAGTGTAAGTGTTAGACGCAGCACCGAAAACCCAGTATGGGGCTGGCTGCAACACAGCTGGAGGTCCTCACACACATATCTCTGCTCCTGTTAGGGCCTTGAATTTACTAGTCCCTCAGGCAGTCTCTCCCAGCTGGCCTTTGATTTTAGGCACAGGAAAGCATTCGTTACTGCAGCCTGCAAGGATCCAGCTGCAGCCTTGTTCATCTGAAAGTCTGCATCTAGGGCAGGCTTAGCTGCCAGTTTACTTTTCCTTCTCTCCCCTTTCTACATACTCCCCAAGACACACAGTTAGCTTCTTGGTTTCACGCAGACGGCAGTACCAAAAAGATGAGGCAGAGAGGTGATGTGTGATGGGGATACTGGGCACTTTAGCGCTCCACAGGGTTTTTTGCTGCCCCTGGATAACTGTTTGACCCAGGAGCTTTCAGCTCTGCCTTGCCACTCTGAAACATGCAGCACAGAGCTGCTATTCATAGTCAAAGCTAAAAATATCCCTCACCCACGAAAAAGGTTAAAGGGTAGCTCACAAAGTAATTTGCATCCATCATTTACATATATTTTTTCCCCCCCCCCCCCAGTTCCCGTCCTTTGCAAACAAGTGCATAAAGTTTCCAGTTATGCAGGCTAACGGCTACCGCTTCCAGAGAGGCTTGAAGGGTTCATGCCTGAAAGCACTCTTTGTTTGGCTGATAGCAGGCTGGAAGGCTATGCCCCTTGTGAAATGATGTCTTGTTTGATGGAAAGGAGGAACTTTAAACCCACCTACTGTACGAAGCCTTGCAGCATGAGGCTCTTCTGCTCTCAGGAAGCTGATCAGTGTGGTGTGTGTTTCCAGATCACCACATAAGCCATCAGTACTTGCTAGGCAGTAGCAGATAACTACTGCAATGAGCTCTTTTAGGACTCTTTCACCACTGAATGAAGGTTTAACAAAT